GAGCCTTAATTGATGACCCTCGTAGTACTAGGAGATTACTGATGAGGACAACTGAAGACCATCAAACCTAATTGGCAGGTGGCTCCGGCCCTCTGAGGCTGCACACATTCTCTGCAAAGTAAAAAAAGCCAAAGGCAAATGTACAGACTGAGATACTGCCTGCAAGGATGGCTTTCCTGGGGGAGCTCCTACCTACCTCTCCTCGACAGTGACCTCTTACCGACAGGGTCCCTGAAGCATTGGACTGTCTGTTAGAAGGTGGCAGAACCCCTGGAAAACACAACAAACAAAGCATGTGCACAGATTCACCACACCACCTGTGGAAGACCACCTAGTTCTGTCCTGGAGTCAATGCTCACCTTGCTCCCAGGTACTCACCTGGATTACCTCCCCTCTGGTGCCTATAGCCTCCTGGGCTGAGGGCTCTGCATCTGAAAACAAAGAAAAACCAAACCAAAATAAGAAAATGCTTAACACAGCGAGTATACGTGGAGCCAAAAACCACATCTTTGTGCTGATGTCAGGTGACAACCCACCTTCTTGCTCTGCTCCTCTGGCCTCTTTTCTGTTCAACTCTGTTTACACCCTGTCCCTCTGACATGGTAAAGAAACCCTAACCAAAGTCACCCAGATAGATGGGGAGAGCTGAAAGAGTCTCTCTTCTCTTCAGGCAAACCACCCAGGGTCACTGCCTGCAGCCAAAGACTACAGCTGTAATCGTGCAGAATATCTGGGTGAACGAAAGGAAAACTTAAGTAGCACATCTGAAAAGTCAGTGGATACCTTCACAGGCATTTAGGGGGCTCCTTGACACTGCTTTCCACCCATACTACCTTCAAAACACCCCAGCAATTCCTAAGCGGACACCTGAACCCTCACTCCATCTCTGGGCTGTAACCCCCCACTGACTACTTGCAAACCTGGGTGTCTGTAGCCATCTTCAACACAGACCAGCTTCACCTCAGGATGGGATAACACTTGTGAAAAAATGCCAAGCTGCAGTTGAGATCATCAGGAGATCTCAAAAGATGCAAGGCTCCCAAGGAAAAGAAAATTATAAAAGCACCTTACCAACACACAGGACACGAAATTATTAAATTTAAAAACCTTGCATTTAAGTGTAATCCTCTTCATTGCCATATATAGCTCTGCTTCTTTGGATGCCAAAGCTGATGATCAATAAAGCAGGAATAGCTTGAGAAGTCCCATTCATTGAAAGAAAGGAAGAGCTCTTACCCCACTGAAGCCCAGCTGTTGAATGACCTCCTTGGGCAAAGGCTGGGGTTAATATACCCCTGGCCACACCCACATACCTTCCCATGAGGCCCGAGGGAAAGGGAGAAGCCAAATGCCACAAAGTAGAAAAGCTCTGGGATGAGTAGCACTGAGTTTTTCAGCTTCAGGATGGATAAAGGCCCTCATGCAGGAAAACACTGCTAATGAGGATAAATACACTATCTCTCTTTCTGCAGCTATACCCACTGAAACAGCAAAGACCAAGTAAGAAACTAAATTTGGGCAGAGGGAGAAAAAGATAAACAACCTAAAAATGCAGACAAAAAATTAACTTATCAAAGAGGATGAAAGGTTGAGATGGTGGGCCACCCTGACGCTCCATAGGCAGCAAGAGTTTCTGGTTCTGGCATCTTTTCTATGAGAAAAAGCTTCAGCTGTGTTCAATCTGGGGGCTAACATGGCAAATTTCACTGCAGGGCTCCTGAAAATGAACAAGAACCCTTTTCCCCGGGGAAAGAAAGCCCTCACCCTAATGGTCTCAGATAGAGGTGAAGAGAAATCCAGGCACTGCATAGGCAGCAAGAGCTTCTGACCCTAGCAGCTTTTCTCTGACAAAAAGCTTCAGCTGTGTTCAGTCTGGGGGCTAACATGGCAAATTTCACTTCAGGGCTCCTGGAACCCTTTTCCCCGGGGAAAGAAAGCCCTCACCCTAATGGTCTCAGATAGAGGTGAAGAGAAATCCAGGCACTGCACAGGCAGCAAGAGCTTCTGACCCTAGCAGCTTTTCTCTGACAAAAAGCTTCAGCTGTGTTCAGTCCGGGGACTGACATGGCCAATTTCCCTCCACGGCTCCTGAAAGTGAATGAGGACCCTTTTCCCCTTTGATAATGAACTAATTAACTTTTCCACCACACCTCAATTACCTANTGACGCATAAAGCAGCCAACAGTATCAGCAAAAGTGAAATAGCTTGTTTAGTGATCTCAGCAAGCCATGGTCCTAAGCCTAATTTTGCTAACCTATCCTGTAAAATCACTTGTATCAAGGTAAGGAATGCCAATCAAACATGTTTGAAAAGGCTCTGAACGCTGAGGCTAAACTTAGCGTGGATTTGGTTCTACAAGAGGACTTACCTTATTGACACTAGATTTAAGTGAACGACCAAAACATAAGGTTACAATTATCTGGAAAGATCAAACAAAAACACTAGATGCTTTACTAGATACGGGAGCAGATTCGAGTATAATAGCACCTCATTGTTGGCCAAAACATTGGCCTCTGCAACCTTCTACTACAGCTGTGACTGGCATTGGAGGTGCTTCAATTGCTATGCGGACTCCTACTTCAAGTATAGAAGTGGAGGGTCGTGTAGCTAATGTTGTCCTGTCTGTTGTACAACTCCCACCAACAGTACAATGTTTAATAGGGAGAGATGTCTTACAAATTGGAATGAAACTCTCCAATGATCACCCTTTGGGGGAATAGCCATTGCTTGGTCTTTCCCAATTCCTATTACTTGGGTTGTTGATACCCTGGTATGGGTTAAGCAATGGCCTCTAAAACGGGAAAGCCTGGAAGCTGCTCATGAATTAGTGCAAGAACAATTTGATCAAGGACATTTGAAACTTTCTACTAGTCCCTGGAATATACCCATATTTGTAATAAAGAAAAAGTCTGGAAAATATCGATTATTGCATGACCTTCAAGCAGTTAACTCACAAATGGAAGCCATGGGGGCTTTACAGCCTGGACTACCAAATCCTGCAATGCTTCCTATGGACTGGTCTTTACTGATTATAGATTTAAAAGATTGTTTCTTTACAATTCAATTACATCCTCGTGATACTAAATGTTTTGCTTTTACATTACCTGCTATCAATCGAGAAAAGCCTGATCAACGGTTTGAGTAGACAGTATTACCATAAGGGATGAAAAACAGTCCAACCCTATGCCAACTATATGTGGATACTGCATTACAAACCCTGCGGCGTAGATGGCCTGATTGTATAATTTATCACTACATGGATGATATTTTATTCTGTCAACCTGAGGATTTTGAACCCCAGCAAATACAAATAATTCGCAAACATTTGGAACAATTCAAATTAATGATAGCAGATGAAAAAATCCAGGCAACAGCACCATGGAGATATTTAGGCTGGACTATCTCCCGACATGCTGTTATCCCACAGAAATTGATATTTCAGACAAAATTACGCACTGTGAATGATGCACAAAAACTTCTTGGTGATTTACAGTGGCTGCGTCCTGTAGTAGGAATCCCTGCTGACCTTTTGGCTGAATTGCGACCCCTATTAAAGGGAACAGACCCGGCAACAAGAATTACTGTAACAAAGCACCAACAACTCATACTCCAACAAATTTTAGACTGTATCACTCAAGGCCGTGTCCGGAGACGGCAGTGGGATTTACCTTTAGAACTTACTTTCTGGGCTGATAAACAATATGTCTTAGGGGCCATTACACAGTCACAAACAGAAACGGGGGAGGATATAGGTGTCATAGAATGGCTATCGACTAGCATACAACAGTCTAAAACACTCTTACAAAAAATTGAAAAGTTGTCAGCTCTAATAAAAAAGGGTAGAGAGCGTGTTTTACAGATTGATGCTCAGGAACCTGTACGCATACGATTACCAATGCAAAAGAATGTTCTTGATTGGTACCTATGTACTAATGAGGATCTTCAAGAAGCATTATTGGGATTATCATGTCCTATAATTACCAGTAGATTGAACAATGTTCCTACAGCATGGGTTGGCTCCTGGCAATGGATGCTAAAGCCTAAGAAACAGGAACAACCAATTTTACATGCACGAACAGTTTATACAGATGCTGGCAAGAAATCTCACACAGTTACCTTAACTTGGGTAGAGAAGGGAGAATAGAAGCATGAAATCATAACAGGAGAACCTACAGATTCATTGCAAACTTTAGAGTTGTTAGCAGTAGTCAGAGCATTAGCTAGTATGAATAGACCCCTTAATATTGTT